AAAACCAAAAAAGCGAGATTTGGGTATATAGCACCCCCCCCCCCCCCCCCCCCCCCCCCCGCTCATTCTAAACCTTTTTACAGAAAGATATTGACCTGGTTTTTGCTTCATACAACCTGTAAATCTGTCGAAAACCATCTTTTGTCAGCAATGTAAGAGGGATTTTCTACCAGTTTCATTAATTGCTATGTTAAGCCATTTATTTTGTCTTCCATCTTTTATATGTTTTCCTGTTAAACGACATTGATAACTAGTCTGCCTAAATTGAGTAAAGTGCGATTTTGTTTTAATGCCTGTTGCTATCTATAGAAGACTTTAAAACAAACGTAATTATAATTTAGATTCTCTATGACCTCTAGAATATGAAACCGTTTCATAGTTTTTAAGAAGATCTCAGCCGCAGATAATTGCGTAACAGCAGCATAATCTGCAAAATATATAATTATACACAGTACGTCATATAGACAGTACATTTTCATTATATATCAAGATATTTGAATATTGTATATATAAGCCATAGTCATTACAGTTTAAAACATACAATATATAGTTAAACCGCTTCAAATTGTAACCATTATGGCCAACCAAATGCCATTATAATCTACACAATTTACTTTTCCAAAAATCTCACAATCTTTATTTTTCCTATTCCCCATTTAGCACATATTTGGAGTAGACGACCGCCCCATAATGCTTTTACAAAGCTTTTATTTCTCAATGTTATTTCTATGCTCAAAACCCCTTATAATTTTGGGAGGAAGAGGATATTTCTCTAGCTTTGAAAAAAAATACAATCTATGTTGTTGTTACCATTCCAATATTGCTAGTGTTTTTTTTAAATACAGACATTGTTATTTGTGTAGCTCCTCTGTCAACAGACAACGCGAAAAATAAAGGAATCACCGATGTACAAACTTTTATCAAATTTATATACGTATCAAGAGTATCTACATAACTTTCAGTTTTAAACCACTGACAGAAGTTTCAACCAGATAATCTCCAAAGATGTTCAGACATTGACAAAGGGACAGGGCGATAACTTTTCTCCGTGTCTTACAGTTACCTCATAAGAACAAAAATTCGTTTTTTTATGTACATGTTACAAAAGACTTTATTTCTGTATAACATGTACATGCATTCAATATTAATATTTCTTGAAGATTTTCCCACCTTTCCAATTGTAAACTTAAGGTGGATCATTAGTATATATTTCCTCAGATAGAAATTTCTTATACCTTGCCAAAATGTAGATTTTTACCATGCTTTTTTCAAAAATATAACAAATAAACGGGGAATGTGTCCATGGGACACAGATGATGCCCCAGTTATAAAGGGACATAAGAGTAAAAGTGACGCTACCCAAATTCATATTTAATCTGAGTTTTGTGGTAATAAGCATTGTGTATAAGTTTCATAATATTTGGTTGAGGCAAACTTAAGTTAGAGAGCGGAAATGAAAAATTCAGCAATTTTTCCATTTGTAAACGGGCATAACTCTAGAATGGTAAAAGTGTCGCCACCGAAATTCAAACTTGATCTGTGTTTTGTGGTAATAAGCATTGTGTATAAGTTTCATAACATTTGGTTGAGGCAAACTTAAATTAGAGAACGGAATCGAAAAGTTAAGCAATTTTTCGATTTGTAAAGGGGCATAACTCTTGAACGGTATTAGTGACGCCAGCAAATTCAAACATGATATGTGTTTTGTGGTAATAAGCATTGTGTTTAACTTTAATAACATTTGGATGAGGCAAACTAAAGTTAGAATACAGAAACCAATTTCGGGACGTACAGACGTACGGACGAATGTACGGACGGACGGACGGACGAACGGCCGTACAGACAGACAGCGGTAAAACTTAATGCCCCCTCCGCTACGGTTTGGGGCATAAAAGTAAATTTATGTCACAGTCCCTTTTTTTTCAAGCTACAATTCGTGCATTATTGCATAGATTTTTCATGAAAACAAATCTTTTTTGTGAATAAAAAGAAATCTATGAGATAGAATTTTGAAATTAATATGAGAAGATGCTTTTATAATATGCTTAAAGAAAATTAAAAAAAAATGGTGTCACCGAATTTTTTTTCTTGCTACATGTAAAAAATAAAAATTCCATTTACATTTCTTTATATAAAAAAAACTGCTAACAGAGTTATCTCCCCTTATACGGCTAAGTTGAACAAGAGGCTGTCAAGTGACAGCAAACCTGATTTTCCTGCAGAGGTCGAACCCTGAACAGTTGAGCAAGTATGGACACAACATTTAAGCTTAAAACAGCTCTGAATTTGGATTATGATTGAATATTTAAAATAGATTATTATCTAATTAATAATGAATTGATATTTGCAAATCTGAACCCCAAACAGGATCATGTAAAAATTAAACATTTACACCCACAACAAAAATAAAATACCACATAACAACTGTGACATCTTCCTTCATAACACACATGACTTAAAAAAATAGTCAAAAAGAAATTTTGATGTTATCATTACTGGTTCATGGAATAAGTTTGAGTTATTTCCCTTTGAACAGAAATATGGTTTAAAATAGTACTCTAACATTAGATATGATTTAATCACTAAAAATAGTTCTCTAAAATTAGATACGATGTAACACAATGTATATCTATTTTCAAATTATAATCAAATATAATTAATAGTTCCAAATATTTTTTCTTTCATTTGTCACAAACTAATATAGATCTGCAACTTATCTATCAATGTCAACAACTTTAAATGTAATGAAATATATCCTTTAATGAAAATAGATTATTATCTAATTAAAGGAATACACTTCATAATTTTTTTTTTTATATATATAGCATTCAGAAAATTAGTTTATACAGAATAACATATAAAACCTACCACAAAATTCTTCAAACAATTTACCAAAGAAAAGAAAAAAAATCCAAAATGTCATTTATCATTAATACAATGTCTTTTAAAAATCTTTTAAAAAATGAGTTATTTCCCTTTGTACAGAAATGGATTAATTCATCAAAAAATGAATTCTTGGGAAAGGGCTATAACTGAACAACGAGAAAAGCTAAAATCGTGAAAATTGAACTTGACCTTCATTTAGTCACAGGAAAAAACATATCTAAATTTGAAAACATTTCTTCAAAGCGTTTTCATGTAAATGAACGGACACTGTTTGGCAGCCGCCTACCCGCCCGCCGTACATCCCCAAATCAATAACCGATTTTTACTTCGAAAATCCGGTTAAAAATTGAATCGAACAAAAACAAATTATTGGTATTAGTTAAAACAGTCTAAAAAATGCAACAAATCACTCATTTTTCTTTATTCAAATAAACAGTCAATACACATTGTATGTCAATCTGTCTCAAAACTTGCAGATTTAAGAAAAGAAATAGACCGATTGTGTACTGCTATTATACAATACAAGCTGTCGGTATACAGTTAATCTACTTTAATCATTTTGGTCATAGTCCAACCCTCCAAACTGTGCATATGAACAATACAAAGTCTTTCCTGAACTCTTATATAGTGCTAGTAACGCATATACATGACCATCACACAATCTTGAACAGACTATAATCCTTACGGAAACCACCCTGTGCATCAGTTATAATCCCGATCTCATCTGGCAGTTTATTTTATTAAGTCTTGAAATAAGAACAGAAGTGAACACTCTTCCTAAATTCAACGTGAGACATATATATCCACGTATTCACTTTTTTATAGTTGCTGTTTACTCCCAGTTAACCATGAATTTGAATACTAAACACTAAATTGAATAATAGCATGAAGATGGGCAAACACTGCTGTATTGTGTTTTTTTTATATATTCATATACAATCTCGTTATCCATTGGGTTTACTCATTATGTCATTTTTTTCTACAATTGCCAATGTGTAGTATTCTTTAATATCTTTATCTAAAATTCCAATAATATCTAATCGCTCTTAAAATAATCATACAACTGTAATATTTATAATTACATTACACAATTGATTCTTCATGATTACTTTTTTTTTATTGGGAGAAAAAAATACATTGTTTTTTAAAGTGATTTTTAAGTCCTAAATTAACGCAAAATGCATGACTGGACGTGCTGCCAATGACACCGTTACAAAACAGACCCGTTAAAATATTTAAAACAAAACAAAATGATTTAGTTGATTTAACTCTTAATTCCTGGTTGTTGCATTTATATGGACTTATAAGAATTAAAGACATATTTTCATCGACACTAAATTTGCCTCGGTCAACGCTTTTACTACACCTAAATATTTGAAGACCACATATTGGCCTCTAGATTTCGTTTGGTTATTGTTTCCCTTTGGTTGCTATCTCCTTTCAAATCATATCATCGTCCAGAACATGCATGTAATATTTGCCACTTGACGTGAAGCAACCAACAATCAATCAAATCATATCATCTAGAGCTTGGATGGTACATATGTATTTTATGATGTGTCGTTTCACTTGAATGAAACGATGTATTCACATGTTTATAATACCGCAGACTTTTATTGTAATTTTAGTATCACATCTGCACTTTTTTTTTGGCTGAATCGTAGTCGCAATCCTCACATTCATTGTATGTACACGAACTTGATTCAATTATGGAAAACTGAAATCTTTCTTTTGATTTTTTCTTAGTCTAAAATTTGTAAACTTGTGTATATTATACTAACTGAGATATATAATAGTTATGTACATGAACTTTCAACAATAAATATAGCTGCATTAAATAAACTAATACGTTGGAGATTGGTGGGTGGCAGTTCTCTGTTTTAAGGATTTTAAAGGGAAGTTTTGATTGCCATAGTAACTAGACCACTTGTTAGAATGTCACAATTTCACTTTTCCTGTTAATTCTTAATGATTCTCAATCACCGTATTCTATTTTTCTTAATACTACCCTAACCACGTGGGCATATAGCACTGCCATTATTCTAGAAAAAAACACCAGTATAAAATATTTAAACAAAAATTGAAAAAGAAATCTGTATAGAATATGTACTTACGTTTGACAATAGTTGGTAAAATCTAATCTGTATAAGTCCAAATTGAAATGTCAAATATATAATCAGTTTTGTCCTTTTGCGTGTTCAAATAAAATAATTGTACAGTGTTTCATCTAAATCTCATAGCAAAACAATTGTATGCTATCCATCATACATTTGATCCCTCATCTGTCTATTACCATCCTTTAGTGAATTAAAGTATTGTATTTCCGTAACTAAGTTTATATTTAAACTCGACTCCTTTACTACATGAAATGAAGTGTATAATTCGTTATCAAGTTAAAAAGTAGATATACATATACCATGCAGGTGTTGCACTCTGTGTGTGCAGAGTGTTAATCACATAGATTTACATGGAACTTGTATTTATAAACGTCTACACTTTAAAAGTGCGCTGTGAAAACAATGTTATCTCAAATTAAAAGAACATGTCTAATTTTCACGAACAGGTTCCGTTACATCCCTTAGCTTTTAAAGTCTTTTTGGCTAATAGATGGAAGCGTAAATCCATTGGCTTATGTTACAAAACAGACAAAAAAACGCTTCCTTTTTTCAAAATTAACAATCTAATTATAGTTAAGACTTCCTGTGATAAAAAGTATTAAATCGATTTTGGCGATGGTTCAGTACAGTTATTGCAATTTGACATCGAGAGATAATTTTCCATCAAACTTCATTTCAGTCAGTGTCGTTCGTGATCTCGACTTAACAATTATTAATTGGGAGCTTTTGGATCATTTGAAATAGCAAAAAACCATTGAGCCTTCTTTTCCTGTTCCCATCAGATAAAAAACTAAATGAGTACGCAATTTTAATAAGAAAAAAATATAGTGATAGAGACAAAAATCGACTGATATACTAAGAAATACCTTAATTATTGTGTCCAAGATACAACATTTGATATGATGCAGTTTCTCAATTTAAAAATCGACCCAAAGCTTTCTCAAATAATTGAATACCACTGCTCTAACAAATGAAAATGAAATTACCTTGACTGGACCAACATGTATAATTTGCAAGAAAAGCAGACAATATAAATACATGTAAGAAGATGTAGTATGAGTGCCAATGAGACAACTCTCCATTCCAGTCACAATGTGTAAAAAGTTAACAATTATAGGTCAAAGTACGGCCTTCAACACGGAGCCGAACAGCAAACTATAAAGGGCCACAAAATGACTTGTGTAAAACAATTCAATCAGAAAAACCAAAGGTCTAATCTATCTTTTAAAAACGAGAAACTAGAAACACCTATGAACCACACCAACAAACGACAACCACTGAACAACAGGCTCCTGACTTAGGACAGGTACATAAAAATGCAGCGGGTTTAAACGTTTTAACAGTTGTCAACCTTCAAACTAACCTGGGACAGTAGTGTAACATTACAACATAAAAAGACACACTATAAATTACTTAAACTCCGCATTCCCAAGACAGTTCATATGAACAAAATGAGACACGAGATATACGCAATACAGCAACACAACAACACACAATAGTCAACAATAGACAAATGTATGTAGAATATATGAAGCTCTTAATCGAGCCGCATTTAAAGACATGTTGTGATTATATGTGAAAGATAATACCAAAGATATATAATCAATACCAAATTCATCAGAGGACAAAAAAAATAAGAAACAAGATTACTACGCCGTAGTGAAATGTCCTCTGCCACTCTGCATATAGTATTGGAATCGTACCGTCATAAGGTGTGAGTATGCTACAAAAGACCTAGTATAAAGAAAGTTCAATAACTCCAGCAAAAATTGTCAATTTAAAATGACAGTATTTATATGGTCAAAAACATATGATGAGAAACAAACCTACCAATTCAAGCATGAAAGCGCCTTTTGTTTCATTGTGTTACAATACTAAAATAAAATGGTCAAAGTCCCATAACTCCCGTAAAAATTCTCATTTAAAAAAGTCGGCATAGCATGATCAAATACACATAATGACATACAATGCGATCAATATAAAATTAAGAAGATGTGGTATAATTGACAATGAGACAACTCTCCACTAGATATTGAGAAAATTATATGGGGCCGAAAGTCAAAACATTGAATAAGACTAGAATTAAAGTAACGGAATATAAAACAATAGATAAAGCAGTCAAGTATATATCAAACCTATTTGGCAATTGGTCTCATATAGGAGTTGTATTCACAACTTATCATTGTGTTACAATGTTTTTTAAATGGTCATGTCATATAACTCCCCCAAGTATTGTCAAATGATGGTTTAGTATGATCAACTACAAATGTATAAATGATAACAAACAATCCAACCAAGTACAGAAGCTAAATTTCTTTTAAAGGGCTCAGAGGAGTTGCGTTCAGAAACTATTATTATGTTGATAAAATGTTAAATGATCATAACTATTCCACATGAATTATCAAATCGAAATGATGGTATAATATGGTCAACTATATACATTCTGACAGACAATCCCACCGAGCAAGGAAGCTTTTTAGGCACACAGCTTCAGAGAAGTTGTACTGACAAAATGTTACAAAATTAAAAATATTTTCAAAGACCCATAACTTCCGCAAACATTATAAAATCAGATTCACGTTACAGTTTGGTCAACTACGCATACAAACAAAGCGTCTATCCAAATACGTAAGCTTTCAGGGAAACGGTTTCAGAAGAGTGGCTTTCACTGGGTGTCACTGTGTAATAAAAAAAACATTCAAAATTAAAAAAAATAAATGGGGAATGTGTCCATGGGACACAGATGATGCCCCCGCTTGCATGTAACGTTATAAAAGGACACAACTCAAGAACTGCAAAAGTGACGCTACCCAAATTGTACTTTATCTGAGTTTTGTGGTAATAAGCATTGTGTATACGTTTCATAACATTTAGTTGAGGCACTCTTAAGTTAGAGATCAGAAACGAAAAATTCAGCAATTTTTCCATTTGTAAAGGGGTATAACTCTAGAACAGTAAAAATGACGCCACCAAAATTCGAACTTGATCTGTGTTTTCTAGTAATTTGCATTGTGTATAAGTATCATAACATTTGGTTGAGGCAAACTAAAGTCAGAGAACGAAAACGAAATAATTAGTCATTTTTCCTTTTGTAAAGGGGCATAACTCTAGAAAGGTAAAAGTGACGCCACCAAAATTCAAACTTGATCTGTGTTTTGTGGTAAGGAGCATTGTGTATAAGTTACATAAAATTTGGTTGAGGTAAACTAAAGTTAGAGAACGAAAACCAATTTTGGGACGTACGTTCGTAAAGACGGACAAGGGTAAATCTTAATGCCCCCTCCGCTACGACGGGGGCATAAAAACATTGAACAAAGTCCTAGAACATATTGTCAAATCACAATGACAGTATACATAGCATGCGATAAGGTCAACGACACATGACCACATATAATCCAACAATGTATGGAAGGTTTTTGGTAATAAGCGTATTATGTGCGAAGACTATTACTTTGTACCCAGCGGCGTGAGACTGAACACAACAACTGACGAAATTCCATATTTTACTTTGTTTCTTTAGTGGGGTTTTTTAGTTGTTTGTTTTGTTTTGTATCGAACTGATAAGTCAAACCCGTTTTCAGCGAATTTTTATACTAGTACTTTGTTGTTATTTTTTGTCGGTACATCACTGTCCTAGCTTAAGGGAGGGTTTTGTGCCCGTAAACATGTTTTAACCCCGCCATATTATGTATGTGCCTGTCCCAAGCCAGGAGCCTGTAATTCAGTGGTATTCTTCTGTTACTGTATATCATAAAACTTAATACTTCTAATCTGCTTTACATTTTTACGTCGTGTCAATTTTCAAAAAATTGCTGAAGTGTCAAAGATCATATAGTACGCCTAATTTATTATCATCATCCTTACAGCTTAACGATATCTGTTTTCACGTACACTTTTATAAGATTTTTTTTTCGCTGGCAAAATTATCTAATTTCGACTAATATTTCGGATTGTTTTACGTATTTTTCGTTAAATTTTATATATTTATTAGTCTTTTAACTACATTTGGTCCTGTTATTGTTATAAAAACGTTACTTTAATAGAAGCACATCATAATGAATTCTAAAATATCTATTCTTTGTTTCAGATTTAACTAAAATAAAAAAAAACCTTATATATTTATGTGCAGATATGTTTTGGCTAACAAGATTTTATTTATTCTCTCATTTCAATGGTGTATACGTGTGTGCACTTTATTTTTAAAAGATAACGCAAATATTTCGCAAAAAATTTAATTATGATTTTATTCTCAAATTTTTTACAAACTCTTGTATTAGAACTTGAGGTACTTTAGGTGGGAGTTCCTCCCGTGAAGACACACCTCAGGTAAGAAATTACTTTAAGGACAATACATTTTTGCATAAACCTCAGGCAAGATATTTTGTTGAGATATTAGGTACACCAGGAAAGAGTTTCGACTGAGCAATAAAAACCTGAGGTAAGATTTTTTGCTGAGGAATAGGAACTTTAGGTATGAGAGACTGACGAGAAATAGATACCTTGGGTACAAGTTATTACTACATGGAATCTGTATTCCAACCTTTTCTGAGGAGTAGGAACTTTAGGTATGAAAGATTGATGAAGATTATTTACCTTGGGTACAAGTTATTACTATATGGAATCGGTATTCCAATCATTGCTGAGGAATAGGAATTTAGGTATGAAAGATTGATGAGGATTATTTACCTTGGGTACAAGTTATTACTACACAGAATCGGTATTCCAACCTTTGCTGAGGAATAGGAACTTTAGGTATGAAAGACTGATGAGGAATAGATACCTTGGGTACAAGTTATTACTATATGGAATCTGTATTCCAATCATTGCTGAGGAATAGGAACTTTAGGTATGAAAGACTGATGAGGAATAGATACCTTGGGTACAAGTTATTACTACATGGAATCGGTATTCCAACCTTTGCTGAGGAATAGGAACTTTAGGTATGAAAGACTGATGAGGATTATATACCTTGGGTACAAGTTATTACTATATGGAATCGGTATTCCAAGTTGGGAACCTTTGCTGAGGAATAACATCTTCAGGTATACTTGTGGTAAATTTTCCTCGTAACTAGTTTACATAGGGTTTCACCAACTAATAAAACAAGGCAAAAATTTAAAAAGCGCAAATTGCAACGTAAATTTAGAGGAAAAAATATTTGTTATCACTATCTAAAAGTTGTAAGTGATAAAAACTCCGTCAACAATGACTGCTGGAAGCGGTAGGAATAATAATCCTAAATTTAATAAAATTTTCAATTTACTGAATCTGTTTATTTACATTATTGATTGTTCTTTGGGCATTCTATTGCTTCCAGAGGCGGATTTTGAGGGTTTTTCAGGGGGCCCGCCCCCCC